GGCCGTCTTGGGCACGCTCCTGGGGCCGTTGTCTTGGTGCCTCTTGGCAGTCTTGGGCGCGCCGCCTGGGCCGTCCTGGGGGTCATGGGCGTCTTGGGACGTATGGGGGCCTTGGCCCGTTCTGTGGCTCTCTTTTGGGGTCCGCTTGGCTTACTTGGATCCGTCTTGGAGCGGTCGGGGGGACTTTTTGGGCCGTCTTGGAGCGTCGGAAAGCCGAAGAGGCGAGGAGGCCGAAAACATCAAAAAACACAATAGAAATCGACGATTTCTGTCGCTCGGGGCCCTCTTGGGAGGCCTCTTGGGAGGCCTCTTCGGGCGTCTTGGACGCCTCTTGGGCCGCCTGGGGCGAATCTCGGGCATCTTGGGCCCATCTTTAAGCGTGCCGGGGCTCTCCGGGGCCGTCTTGGGGGCTTCTGGGGGCCCTCCCCACATGTCCTGGAGCCTGCCTGGGCGGCCCGGGGCGGCCCGGAGCCAGCCCGGGGCGGTTTTGAGACATTGGAGCCTGCGCCCTTCTGGCACGCACTGGGCCCTGCAATGTAGTAGAGACTAGGGCTGACCCGCGGCCTTCCGGCCGCGGAATGTGGCCGCCATGGCTTGGACGCGGAAGTGGAGCGTCTCTGGGGCCTCGCGGGTAAGGGGAGGTTGGAGGGGACGGTGTGGATGGAGGAGGTGGCCGCTGGAGGGGGAGGTGAGCGAGGGATGCAGGCAAGCAGGCCTGAAGGCAGGAACGCGGTGGTGGAGGCGGTGTCAATGGAAGCGCACCCATGTAGGCATGACAGCTGTTTCTGACGCCGCAGTCTGTGTTCATCATAGCTTCTGCGGGGAGGGCAGCCGTGAGAAGTTATCTGCCCTTCGCCGGGGCCGAATGATAATTTGATGTGGTAGTGTGGGGCCAGTGGGCGCGGCCTAAGAGGCCCGCAAGAGGGCGGCGAGACGTAACTCCCTAAGACGGGCCCCAGTGCGAGGACACGAATCGACCTTTCGAGCGCACCACCCCAAGACGTCCCCAAATGGCGCAGAGATGGCTCGCAGTGGGTCCAGGAAGCCCCCAAGACGATACTGGAAGTTCGACGCTCCCCAAGAGAGAAGCATCCCACGCCTCTTGGGGGCCGCTTGGGGGCCCTTTTCGTCCTCCTGGGGGTCTCTTGAAGCCCTCTTGGGCAATCTTGAGTGCGTCTTGGGCCGTCTTGGGGCGATGTGGGGCCGTCTTGCGCGCCTCTCGGCATCTTGGGACAGTCTTGGAGTTATCTTGGGCGAATATTGGGCGCTCTTGGGGTTGTCTTTGGTGTTTCTTGAGCCGTCTCGGGCGCCTCTGGAGCCGTCCCTGACGGCCCAGAGACCGTCTTGGAGACTGTCCAAACGGAAAGGCTTGGAGACGGGGCGGTGGGGGCATCTACAGCCGTCTTGGAGACGGGGCGGTGGGGCCGTCTTGGGCCATTGTTAACTGCTCTTGGGGCTGTCTTGGGTGCGTTTTGGGCCGTCTCGGGGCCCTCCTGGGGCCCTCCTGGGAAGCCTCTTCGGCATCTCTTGGGCCGTCGTAAAGGCGTCTTGGGCCGTCTTGGCGCCGCAAAAGGCAGTCTTGGCTCGTCGTGGAGCGCTCTTGGAGCGTCTTGGGGATACCTGGGGCCGTCCTGGGAGCCTCTTGGTGTCACCCTGGGGCCGTTGTGGGCGCCTCTTGGGCTCTCTTGACGCCCTCTCGGGCCGGTTTTCGTGCGTCTTGGGGGCCTCTTGGGCCATCTTGGGGCGGTCGTGGGGACCTGGAACCAGCTTCTGCGCCATATTCCCGTGAAGCAGCGCATGCTGGAAGTGAGCGTTTTTCTTCGGGGAAACAATGAGTTTCGCCTCTGGGGGCCATCCTTGGACGCCTCTTGGGCGTCTCTGGGGCCGTCGTGGAGGCGTCCTGGGCCGTCTTGGGTTTGTTTTCGGCGGTCTTGGGCTCTCTTGGAGCGCTCTTGGGCCGTCTTGGGGGAGTCTGGGGCCGTCCTGGGCGCCTCCTGGGAGCCTCTGGGGGCCGCCTGGGGGCCGTGTTGGGCGCCTCTTGGGTCTCTGGACGCTCTCGCGGGCCTGTTTTCGTGCCTCTGGGGGGCCTCTTGGGCCGTCTTGGGGCGGTCGTGGGGGCCTCTTGTCCCATCTTTTGCGCCATACTCCCGACAAGCAGTGCGTGCTAAAATTTGATGTTTTTCGTTGGAAAAACAATGATTTGATCCTGGGACGCCTCTTGAGCGTCTCTGGGGCCGTCGTGGAGGCCTCCTGGGCCTTGTCGGGACCGTTTTCGGCGGTCTGGAGCTCTCTTGGAGCGCTCTTGGGCCGTTTTTGGGGTGTCTGGGGCCGTCCTGGGCGCCTCTGGGGCCGCGTGAGCGCCTCTGGGGCGTCCCTGGAGCCGTTGTCGAGCATTTTACGCCCATCAAGACAGGGACCCTTCCCGCACGCACGGGTCCCTGCATTGTAGAGAAGAAGACTAGGGCTGACCCGCGGCCTTCCGGCCTCGGAATCTGCCCGCCATGGCGTGGACGTGGAAGTGGAGCGTCTCCGGGGCCTGGCAGGTGAAGGGGGGGTGGAGGGGACGGCGTGGATGGAGGAGGTGGCCGCTGGAGGAGGAGATGGGGCGATGCAGGCAAGTAGGCATGAAGGCAGGAACGCGGTGGTGGAGGCGGTGTCAGTGGAAGCGCACCCATGTAGGCATGACATGGTGTGGACAGAAGCTGTTTCTCACGCCCCAGTCTGTGTTCATCATAGCTTCTGCGGGGAGGGAACCGTGATAATTGTATCAGCTCTTCGCCGGGGCCGAACAATAATTTTCTCTGGTAGTGTGGTGACAATGGGGCCGGTGGGCGCGGCCTAAGAGGCCCCGCAAGAGGACGGCGAGACGGCCCAAAAGGTCTCCAGGACGGGCCAAGAGGCTTCCCAGAAGGCCCCAGAGGGCCCCACGAACTCCCTAAGACGGGCCCCAGTGCGAAGACACGAATCGACATTTCGAGCGCACCGCCCCAAGACGTCCCCCAAAGGCGCGGAAATGGCTCACAGAGGGTCCAAGAAGCCCCAAAGACGACGCTGGGAGAGAAGGATCCAAGGCCTTTGGGGGCAGTTTTGGGGCAATTTTTTTGCCTCCTGGGGGTCTCTCGGGGCCCTTTTGGGCCGTCTTCAGTGCCTCGTGGGCCGTCCTGTGGCGATGTGGGGCCGTCTCGGGCGCCTCTCGGACCATCTTGGGGCCGTCTTGGGCTCATCTTTTGGGCAGATATTGTGCGCTATTGGGGCTGCCTTGCCGTTCCGGGCGCCTCTGGAGCCGTCCCGGGGCCGTCTCGGGCCGTTTTGAAATCTCCTGGGGGCGTCTGGGAGCGTCTTGGGCGATCTGAGGGCCTGCACAGCCGTCTTGGAGACTGTGCAGATGGAAAAGCTTGGGGACGGGGCGGTGGGGGCCTGTACAACCGTCTTGGAGACGGGGCGGTGGGACCGTCATGGGCCATTATGAACTGCTCTTGGTGCTGTCTTGGGTGCGTCTTGGGCCCCGTCGGGCGCCTCTGGAGCCGTCCCGGGGCCGTGAGTGGCCGTTTGGGGGCCCTCCTGAGGGCCTCTGAGCGCGTCTTGAGGCGATTCCACTAGGGAATGGGACGATTTCGGCCTTTGGGCTCCTCCTGGAGGCCCTCCTGAGCCATCTTGGGGATATCCTGGCCTGCCTTGGGGGCCTCTGGGGCTGTCTTGGGGCTCCCAGGGGTGCCCTGAGGCCGTCTTGGCGCCCCCTAGAGCCTCTCGGAGCCGTCCCGTGGGCCATTAGTGACTGCTCTTGGGGCTGTCTTGGGTGCGTCTTGGGCCGTCTCGGGCGCCTCTGGAGCCGTCTGGGGGCCGTGTGGGGCTGTTTGGGGGCCCTCCTGGGGGCCGCTGGTCTTGGGAGGAGCTGGGGGGCCTGTACAGCCGTCTTGGACGCTGCGAGGACGAAGAAACAAGATACAGTGACAATGTGCGTTTCCCGTCAGGAATGAGACGATTTCGGCCTCTTGGGCCCCTCGGGAAAGCGATAATTGTGGCCTCCTGGGGCCCTCCTGGGAAGCCTCTTCGGCGTCTCTTGGTCCGTCGTAGAGGCGTCTGGGGCCGTCTTGGCGCCGCAAGAGGCAGTCTTGGCTTGTCGTGGAGCGCTCTTGGAGCGTGTCGCCCTGGGGCTGTTTTGGGCGCCTCTTGGGCTCTCTTGACGCCCTCTCGGGCCGGTTTTCGTACGTCTTGGGGGCCTCTTGGGCCGCCTTGGGGCGGTCGTGGGGACCTGGAACCAGCTTCTGCGCCATATTCCCGACAAGCAGCGCATGCTAAAAGTGAGCGTTTTTCTTCGGGAAAACAATGATTGTCGCCTCTGGGGGCCATCCTTGGACGCCTCTTGGGCGTCTCTGGGGCCGTCGTGGAGGCCTCCTGGGCCTTCTTGGGTTCGCTTTCGGCGGTCTTGGGCTCTCTTGGAGCGCTCTTGGGCCGTCTTGGGAGTGTGTGTGGGGCCGTCCTGGGCGCCTCCTGGGAGCCTCTTGGGGCCGCCTGGGGGCCGTGTTGGGCGCCTCTTGGGTCTCTTGACGCTCTCTCAGGCCGGTTTTCGTGCCTCTGGGGGGCCTCTCGGTCGTGGGGGCCTCTTGTCCCACCTTCTGCGCCATACTTTCAACAAGCAGTGCGTGCTAAAATTGGACGTTTTTCGTTGGAAAAACAATGATTTGGACCTGTGGGGGCCATCCTTGGACGCCTCTTGAGCGTCTCTGGGGCCGTCGTGGAGGCCTCGTGGGCCTTGTCGGGGCCGTTTTCGGCGGTTTGGAGCTCTCTTGGAGCGCTCTTGGGCCGTTTTGGGGGTGTCTGGGGCCGTCCTGGGCGCCTCTGGGGCCCCGTCAGCGCCTCTGGGGCGTCCCTGGAGCCGTTGTGGGGCATTTTACGCCCATCAAGACAGGGACCCTTCCCGCACGCACGGGTCCCTGCATTGTAGAGAAGATGACGTTGGGCTCCAGCTTCGCCTCCCGCATCTCGCTCAGCAGCGCAAGCGCCCGCTGCCACTGCTCGCCCTTCTCGCACGCGCTGATCCCAGCGCTGTGGCTGATAGCGTTGGGCTCCAGCTTCGCCTCCCACATCTCGCTCAGCAGCGCCAGCGCCCGCTGCCACTGCCCGCCCTTCTCGCACGCGCTGATCCCAGCGCTGTAGCTGACTAGGGCTGACCCGTGGACTCCGTCCACGACATCTTTCTGGAATGGTTCTCGGGGGAACGGCGCAGATTGTACCGAAAATCTACAAACACGGCGGCGGCTCGGGCGGCGGCAGCGAGACCGCGCCTTCGTGTCCGAGCTCTTGCAGCGCTGCAGCAGCTTGGCCCAGCGCACTGCTCGTTCACCACCCTCCTATTGAGGACAGTTTCGAAGTCTCTCGGGGATGTGCGTCGAAGTCGAAGCCCATCTGAGGCGTCTCAGGAGCGCTCGGGGAAAGGCTCGGGAGGCCATCGGGGAAAGCCACCGAAAGCGCCGGGGAGGCTCGCAAGGATCTACAGGGAGG